CCATGACGCTCTGCCTCACCTCAGGCCCTTCCACCATGACGCTCTGCCTCACCTCAGGCCCTTCCAGAGGCACAGCCATGGACTGAACCTCTGGAACCATGAATCCAAGAAAACCTTTCCTCCTCCGAGTTGTTTTTGTCAAGTGTTTCTTCACAGTGACAGGAAGATGACCAACACAGTGGCCGATCCAGGTCTGATGTGAGTCTCCTCAGGACCCAGCCCAGCCATGGGACCTATACACACATACCTCACAATGCACCTCACACAAGTGCACAGTGCAGTGCACACACACAAGCACACATGTGCACACTCACACACACAAGCACAATGCACCTCACACAAGTATACAGTGCAGTGCACACGCACAGGCACACACAGCACGCATGTACACACACATATGCACACACACATCACAAACAGAAGCACACACTAAATGAGGCACTGCCCAGGCAGGCCCCGTGGTTCTGTGCCACTTTGAGGAACAAAGCCCGCCCACGACATGAGTCTGCGCCAGGCCCAGTCCCACGGCAAGGCTGCTGACACCCTGCTGCCGGCTGCTCACACTGGCCAGCAAGCCCGCCAGCTCACAGACTGTGCTGCCAAGACAAGAGAGCCTCTTCAGGCAGGGCCGTCTTGTGGCCCGCAATACCACCTCCTTCTCAGGCCCCGTGGAAAGATGCTCCTGAGGGTCAGGAGCCTTGCCAGTGCTGGGCAGCTGCATCTCCCAGCACCTGTCCATGCTGCCAGGGTCCAAGGGTGGGAAAGCAGAAGCCCTGGGGGTTCCCTGCATGACTTGAGGGGATCCGTGGGGTGCAGAGCCACTGCTTCTGGGGCTCAGGCCTCTTCCAGGACAAGGCCATCTCCGCCCTTGAGCTCTCATGGTACCCCAGGCTGGCTCCCCTTGACCTGCGCAGAGGGACCCCAGGCCTGGATGCTGGGCCCTGGAGCCCCCTGCCCTCTGAGGCCTGCAGTGGCGGAACTAGGGGAGGATGTAGGAACTTAAGATGAGTCTTGGCTAAGGGGCCAGGGGATAGGAGGAGAGACCAGGAGGGAGGTGGGCAGTGCTCACTGCCACTCAGACTTCATCCATAGCACCCCAAACTTCAGCAGAGGCCCACGGCCACTCATGAACAGAGCCAGCCACATGGCTGCACTCACCTCTAGAAGGGGCAGCTCTCAGCCTGGTGGCCCAGCAGGTCCAGGCTCCAAGTGAAATACGCTTAGCCCAGCTGCAGGGCCCTAGAGTGGGTTCCATGAGGCTCAGTGGGCCACAGTAGACACTTCCCAGGAGGGGGACATGCTCGGATGCGTCCAGTTGGCCTGGGCTCCTGAAGAGGTCACCTATAGAGACCCCCCTGTCCAGCACACACACAAGGGTGCACACAGCTGGGGGCATCATGGTTCCTACTGCAGCCCCTCTGGCTCCCGCCGTCTAACCTAGCGCTTCATGTGCTGGGTGCAGGCCCAGCTCCTTGGGTGGCGAGAGGGTCCTGCTCACCCTTCCTCCATCAGGAGCTGCCCAGGGGTTGTGGGTAGGTTGAGGAAGGTCACCCAGACTTTGTTCCCTGCTAGGCAGGAAAGAACGGTCATCATCCTGCAGTTCTGTGGGTCCAGACCCAACCTCCATGCCTGGGGGGAGGGTGACTGGAGGACAGCTGGATGGGGCCTCCCACCCCACCCCCACCCCCAGGGGCTATTCTCCAGGGCAGAGGTGGTACTTCAGCGCATCTCCAGTCCAGAGGGTGGGGCCCTTCTCTGGTAGTGCAGAGGGTCCAGCTCAGGGCTTCTGCGCATTGAGGGGACCTCCCCCGCTGCTCAGACTCTGAGCCTGGATTGCAGGGGACCCAGAAGTCACTGTGCCTGCTTCAAATACACTTATGACCCGTTGACTTTAGAGGTGTGGTAGGTTCCAGTGGGACTTCTAACTCCAAACCAAGTTCACTGCCGAGAGCATGGGGCACGTGGCAGGCCCCTGGGCTCCTGACCCCCACCGGATCCGCAGCCCTGGCCCGCCCTCCCCGGAGTCCTTCCTCCCCTGTCCGAGGCTGTCCCTCCAGGCAGCTCTCCCTGGGTCTCAGGCTGCCTCCTGCTCTGGGTCCATGGGTTTGGGTGCAGGTCATATGGAGTCCAGGAAGGCACCCTGGGAGATGCTCCTGGCTGTGGCCCCTGCCACCTTGGGTCCCGAGCCTAGCCTCACCCCAGGAGGTTCTAGAAGGTGCTTTCCGGGTTTGACAAGGGTGAGGCACTCTCTCCCCTCAGGGGAGGCATGGGATAGGAAACGCCCTGCCTGGCACCTAAAAGTGCCATCATCATCTCCTAGCCCGTCCTGGTCTGCACCCTGACCTGGGCCTAAGCCACCTGGCATGTGTCTGCTTGTCCTGCAGCCACAGTCCTGCCCAGATCTGATGTTGCTGTTCTGCCTCTGATCCCACATCCCCTGTCCAGAGCAGCTGGAATCCAGGGGAGTCCTCCCAGAGGCTGGCTTTGTGCAGTGCTTGGGCAGAAGGTCTGCACTGTGGGTGCAAGGTCCTCTGCGGTCTGCCTGCAGGTGTCCTGGGATCCAGAACCTAGCCAGGCCTTGCTGTCCACTCACTGAGCTCTGCGTGATTTCCAGCCCAGCACCTTCTTGCACACGATCGTCTGCGCATGTGCTATGCAGATGGGGGTGATACTGCTGGGCTGCGGGGTGCTGGTCTTGCTGTTTTCCAACAGGCTGCTCCTGCTCCTGCTCCCACAGCAGTAAGGGGGCATAGCCAGCAAGTAGGTCCTGCCCTCACACACCATTGTCCACCTCTGTCATCGCCATCTGGTGGCTGTGGAAAAGTATTCCCGATGGGCACATTCTGCATCCCGCTGACTGTAATGAACTTTCTCTTGAGTTTGCCAGCCATTTGGACTTTCTCTGGGTCATGATGGGGAAGGGCCATCCTGGGCCTGCTGTCTGTAAGGTTCACTTCTTGACCTCATTGGTCCTCACTGGCACTGCCCTGGGAGCTGTGCTCTTTGGAGGCTCCTGCAGCAATGCCTCCAGGTGACATGGCAGCTGCCCTCTTCCTCACCCTGTAGGACAGGTGCAGAAGGCTGACAGGTACAAAGCACATTTCTTCCATGTGAACCAGGCAGTGCAGGAGGCATGACGTCTGGACCCCATGCCTGCTCTCAGACACGGGACATCCGTCGATTCAAGACTGGGCCCTGGGCACCCCACTCCTGCTAATAGGAGAGAAGGCAGCACCCTCCCCTGCTGAGAGACCCACCTGAACTTCCCACTGGACACCACTAAAATGGCAGTGTCACAGAGGAGACCCTCCCATGCACCGTGCACACGGAAGCTAATGCAGCCGTTCTGTGACAGAAGGCAGCAGGGCATGCTGGGAGGGCAGACCACGCTTGAGGTGCAAGGCTTGTGTTCATGGCATTGCTGTTTGGTGCCTGCTGCTGCCTGGAGTGCTGGGCACAGAGCAGACCCTCCAAGCTCGGCAGCTAGTGCACAAAGGTGCTGTGTGCAGAGCCACATTCTCAGATCTGCTTCCAGTGGCGACTAGAGGGCGAATCTTCTGAGGGGTACACTGAAGCGTGTCCTCTGGGGGTGTTTCTGAAGGCTGTGGCTGAGGACACCCTTTCTTTTCCATCAAAGACAGGGAGATATATAAAGGTTTATTTATTTCCTGGCCTCTCCTCTCGGCGGCCTTTAATTGCACCAAATCCAGGCCACATCGAGGGTGGGGGCAGTGCCAACCCCCTGCACTGTCCAAGTGGCCTCTGGGTGGCCAGGCAGCAGCAATGGATTCCTTCTTCCTCTGGAGCTCACTCCCTGGGGAAGTGTGGGGCTGGCAGAGGGGACAGGCTCTGGGGACTGCAGCCATGGGGCCTCTGCTCCAGGAAGGTTCGGACCAAGTTTCACTCATCAGTCGGCCAGTTTGCCCACAAGGGCTGGAGGAGGGTCTTCAGCATCTCACTGTCCCCAGTGGCTGCAGAAGGCTGTATTCCTCAACAGAGAGCCAGTAGTCCAGGTTGGAAGTTCTCCCAAAGACCCCATGTTCTGCGAGGAGAGGGCGTCCCGGGGGGCGGGGGGGTGGCTGCACCCTCTGGGGGCTGCTTTCATACTTGTTCAAAACATGGAGTTCGTGCATGGGACTCCAACATAGCCTGTGGGGCCAGGTGGGCCCACCTCTTGTCCCTGAGGGGTGGATACCACAGGCAGAGTGCCCCCTGGGAGGGTGAGTCAGCCTCAGGTTCCCAAGTCCAGGGCAGGAAGCACAGGTCAGTCCTAGGGAACGACGGCTCTCACCCTGCCATAACCCTCCACCCACAGCTCGTGAAGCTGGCCGACTGCAAAGGTAAACTGCCCTATACTGACGGGTGCTGACGGTGCCCACTGTCTACCCAACAGTTATAAGAAGCCCACCCCAAGCTGGGCACCAACTTCTGCAGTGACAGCTTCCACTGCTGTCCCCTGAGGCCTGCCTGCAGCGCTGGGAGATATGAGAACAGGGACTCCCAGCGGCCACCACCTGCCCCACGGGATCTGTGGGGGCCGACGCCGCCCGGCCCTCCCCGTTCCTCCACTGACCTCTGCGCCAGGGCAGGTGGGGTCCCCCAGTGTCCAGGGCTCACCTCGTCCTCCGGCAGAGTGGGGAGCGGCTCAAAGTCGTAGAAGTCCAGGTCCTTGCCTTCCTCCTCGTAGAAGCTCGCGGCGGGGTCCATGGCCTGCATCCTACGTGCTCGCCCCGGCCTGCGCCGCGGGCTGGTGCTTCGGCCACGTCGGCGCTCCTCGCTGGCCCTCGCGTCCCCGCGGGTCCCTGCCCCGCAGCTGGCTCCCCTGGGGTCCCCTCCCGGGAGGTCCCCTCTGAGGCTGGCCGCCGCCTCTGCGCCCGCTGG